GCCACATATTTGTTCTGTCACTTCAACATTAAAAACCTGGGCACACATCAAAATCTTATTTAAAATTATTATTTTGGGAAAGTCTACCACCTTGCTTATGCTACCTATATTACTTTTATCAGTTATTCATTTATTTACTCAGTTAAGTGTATGGTCCGACCATTAAGTACTCATAATACCTCATTACTTACCTTTTTCTTCCCCTTGTTCACCCACAATCCAAGCATCTTTTCCAAGCACCTCAGCTTTCAAAAGGTTTGTGAGAATATACCGAAATCTCTCAGTATCCAGATTGCTCCCTACTCCAATAACTCTGCTTTTGGGAAAGGCACTCAGCTTCCATGACACATACGTCATTATTTCAACTAGATGGGAGAGAAAGAGATTAACAACGAAATGTCACTCCTCAAATTTAGCATCCAAATAYATGTATCTTTTATATCAACCCGAGTATATTATTACTTTCTCTATCTTGGTAACAAAAAAAGAAGAAAAACTTTGGTGTCCTGCTCTAGGCTGAAAGGAAAATTTATTTCAGAGTARCAAGTGTTTATGACTATGTGAATATATTAAGCAATAAGATATTTTTAAAACAGACCAGAGGGCAATTCRAAGGTATTGCAGGTGAATGTAAGTATCAACTTACCGGGATGAGAAGCAACAAGCACAACACTGTTCTGACTGTAGTGTGAAATTGCTGGGATAATTCCTCTGAACAGCTCCACATTGCTTTGTATGACATCAAGGTAAGTCTGAGCATTACCCAGAGAGTTAACTGTAAGTACTACAACTTTTGAATTAGCTGAAGCAGAAAAATCTGAAAAGGTAAAAAAAAATTAACATATTTTATCAAATAACAGAAAAAAAAAATGGATTCAAATTGAAGAACAGGTCTAAATGATAAACTGCTGCAATCAACTTAGTTTAGGAATTCTTCTTCTCTATCAGGCCACTTCCCCCCAAGAAGAATTTTGGGCACTTCCACTGCACCTATCAAAAACAGTTCTCCCACAGAACAGCTTTCCCCATTTCACACATAGGAATTAGAGAAGGGAGAATGCAATTTAACTAAGGTTACAGAGCAAAGACTGGAAAAAGATCATTTTTGAAATGTTTTCCAAGGTTGATTTCTTTAATACAGGAGAAATAAATAGATCCATTAAAAATTTATTTCCTTCCATTACCATTCTTAATAAGAATGATTTTATCTCCCATTCTGTAGCCTGCTTTGCCAGCTACTTGATGGGACCAGGTTCCATTACTTGGATTTTCACTCCTTTACCTGAGGTTCTATATTCTTTTTGTTCCTTTAGCTCAATCAAGAACAGATAAACAACCCTAAAAAGTGCTGCACGATCCTATTTATTAATTCACCTAAGAGATCCATTCTTATTAGCCCAAAACAAGACACAGTGAAATTTGCTGTAGAAATTACTAAGCCAGTGCTGCCTTGAGTTGGTAACTCTGAATAGCCGAATGCTAAGGAYATAATTAATATTAGCTTGCCTCAAACCTAGATATCAGCACACTGARATAAGAGGTGACACTGTACAAGTATTTCAAAATATTGCAACACTACTAGTAGTCCAGCTAGATGCCTTTTATAAGCTCTTTGTAGTATAGTTGAATATAGCTATATAAATAACAGGCAGTCACAAAGGGACAAATGGGGATTTCTGATATAGCTAAGATCACTGTAGAGGGAGGAAAAACAAGTACTAGAGGTAAAATTTGCAAGATAAGAACAAAATATTTAAATGAGACAGCAACACTGTTAGATAGAAACAAATAATCCTGCAAAACAAGCAGAAAAGATGCTTGGTGAAAACAAAACAAGTCCTTGTCCCCCAAACAACAGCAGTTATTTTGAAAGTATAATATAAATAGTATGATATAAAAGTATAATATAGAAGTATAAAGTCTTCCTTTTCATCTTGTAGAGGACGTAAGGAACATAAAAACGTCAAGGACAAGTGTGGAAAAATGAGCTAGAAGGTTGCCTGATTCAGTTCCAGCTTGCACTGTGGAAGAGTGATCATGCCTGAACACCTCAATATCCACAAAAACAGACTATCACAGACCGTAGCCCCCAGCTCCATCCAACTGGACACTCGCAGCTAATTGACAATAAGATTGTTAAGGACTAATTATGTGCATATGCAGAGATAACAACAAAGAACTAACCATTGGCAATATACGTTTCATCAAAGTCAGTACAGGAAAGTGRTGTTCTGAAGCTTGAATATCAGTCTTTCAAACAGTATTGTCACAGCTATCTGTAATTCCCTAATRGACATATACATCTTTGTGTTATTTCCCTTTACTTTTTGCAGCTGCAACATCAGCTCAGCATCTCATTCTTTGCATTTCTATGTGCCTAGCTTCAGCACTGGCTTCCTACCCTAGCTAGAAGTAAGGCTCTCACGCCTCAACAAACAGAAGGAAAAAAGCATGGAATAGAAGGAACACAAGCTTCTTTGAACCTTCATTTCCAAATTTTGCTCTGGAAAAKTGAAGAAAAATGAGAGGCTATCAAAAGATAACAGCATCTTTCCAAAAACACAGCTATATGTTGAAGCCTCTACTCTCACAGTGTCCCATCCTCATTAAAATGAGCACAAGCACAGACAAAACAGTAGTAGCTTTCTTTCCAACACGGATTGGTACCTTTGCTGATCTCTACATTTGGCAGAGAAAATATCTCCAAGTCCATGGCTCCTCCTTTTGCTGCACCTTCAGAAAGATCCAAAAGAACCACCTTGTCTGCAGTACCCTGTATGAGTAAGAACAATGTAGATCAACAATTACATAAAGCAAGATTTGGTCAAAGTGGTGGTGGGGGAGACAGCAAAASAAGATGATATTATTCAAAACCACGTCTGTTGTATTGCATTTAAAACAAGCAGTAAGGGCAGATCTCACAAAAACTACCATCAAAATGTACAAAAAACAACAAGGTATCTGATCAGTTAACTGGAAAACAAAGCATTAAGAAACAAAGTGCCCTACACCCTGGGAAGTTATAAATGTTGATGTTACTGTTTCTTTGAGTATGTCACTGTCACAGACTACAGACTATCCTCCTCTAGGGGCCTAGCAGATCCCGACTGTAAACAGGCTGCAGCTTTGCAAGAACACTTTAACTGCAGATGCCCCAAATATAAATGAATTCAATTCTCAATCTTACATATTCAAAAAGCTGGCTGAGGAAAGAATATGGAAACTCATATTTCTGCTCTGTGCTCCTCTCCGCTAACCAAAGGAAAGAAGAGACATAAACCACAACATCACTATTAAAAATGCTAATTTAACTTATGTGTCGAAGATGAAAAGAAATAGCCTATAAACTTTTATATTAATCAGGCCTCTTAATAGTCATAATAATCACATACCTTTGCTGTGATTGCTAGTACACAGGCCATGCCAAGATCTCCAGCGCCTATCACAGTAATTTTGTTGAAACATCCATCTTTGTCTCCACCAATTTTGCCCTTTGCTYTCCTGTCAGTCTCTCCTACAATTAAAAACACATATACATATATGCATAAATCTAAGTGTAGTCTACACTGTAAAATAACAATACAAGTATTGCTGCTTCATAAAAGATTGTGCTGAGCCAGAATTAAGCCAAATTACATATGTTTCAAAATATCAGTCAAACCTAGCTAGCCATGGAAAATCCATCRTCACTCCCACCATGCAAAACAAATATTCGTCTCTGGATAGGAATGTTTTCTTACTAGGTGGAATGTGTAAGCAAAACATTTTAAGCAGCTACACACTRAGACTACACAAACAGTAATCTTTTTGCTATTGCTACAGATTATGGGTAGAAATCTTGTAAAAAAWTTCAGATTTTGTAAAGATTTGCAAAATGGAATTTGATTAAAACATAACTTGAAGCTGCTTATCCTGTGCCACTGTCAGTAACGATTCTCAGTATAACGCAAAAAGATTTCTAACAGAGATTTTAAGATTGGAATGAATGAACTGTAAATGGAAATGTGTACTATGTGCACRTGTGCTCGTAAATGTGCTCAAAAACACTTGTATTGAACTAATGGAAGAAGCAGCAGAACAAGAGCTTAAGGGCAAGGTTTGCAATTGCTACAGACMTGCATATGTGATGTCATTAAAATAAAGAGAAGGAAAATGGTTTTGCCAAAAAAAACCCCAAACAAACAAGCAACAAAAACCCTTCTGAAGAGTATAAAAGACAAGTCCAGATTCAGTGGGTCACCASCAAAGCAGAACCACCTAACAGAGAGAATGTGGACTCAACACCCTACGTCCCTTGTCCTCACAGCTATGCATGAGTGATTGTGGMCAGACAAATTTTGGGACTTGCAACTGTGGATATAAGGCTGTGAATGAATGAGATCTGTTCAGAGAATGCTTATGAATGAGCAAAATCACCTTGTTTATTATGTCTACAGTATTTTTCAGCAAGCTTACATGCAGAAATTGAAAATGAATTGCTTATTTGAATAGAGAACTCAGATTCTCTTTATTCAAGAGGCACTTTTAAAATGAACAAAATAGTAAATGCTATGTGCTTGCAAACACCAAAAGTCTGGGCATTAAAGTTCCATGGCCATATTTATCATATAAAGTAACAACAATAAATACTATCCAAGAAAACTAGAAATAAATGTATGAAAAAAAGACCCATACCTTCTGTAATCTTTGCAATGTATGCGAGGAGTTCAGATTGCCTGGCTGCATCAGCTGAGGAAAGTGAATACAAAGGGAGCTCTTCCTCGAATTTTGCAATCATTTCCTTGATTAATCCAATAACAGTTGATTGAGGCTGGAAAAAAGCAACACCAAATATAAAACAGTTGACTAAATATTTCACACAATTACATTGTCTGTAAATTGTAATAGTTCAAAAAGAACCACAAAGTAAACAATTATACAAAATCTAATCATATTACAGAGATGTTCAACGCTTACATAAGCATTTAAGCTTATTCAAGCATCAATTTTGGAAGAGATACATTCCAAATGTAAGCATCAGACAACACGGATTTAAATTAGTGCAACTAGTTTTTGAAAGCATTAGTGAACAAATGGAAGGCTTTGGTAGAGCAGCATCCAATATATCAAACAGAACAAACTGCAACTAATGAAAGAGARCTTCAATCTCATCTGATGAGTTTAACTATTCAGATTTTTGGTAATTCATTACTTCTTTTGGCCAAAAGACACATTGAAATTAGGAGAAGTTTTATCAATAGAAGCAACAGAATTTTTACACATCCCATTCATTTTTGGAAAAAAAATTTACTGGATGGTCAGATGTATTTAATTCATTTAATAAAGTGCATAAAATATTTAGTAATATCATTAGCATTTGAACTTCATATTCTAACTAGAGGCTTCTGTCAGAAAAGACAGAATACTCAATTTGTCTAATATTATTAATCATTCACAGAAACAAGAGGAAAATGTACCAAAGGGACTACATGAGGTATACAGAGTTTTGGGAAAAAAAAGCCTTTTTAACTCAGATTAAAATAATTTTCTTTAAAATCACTTCAGACTATCTGAAGGCTGCAATTTCAAGGGACACATCATTCTGCTTCTCTTTGTGTAACCATTACATATTTAATATTAACAAAAAAATGAAGGAGAGGAAAAAAGCCCATCCCTTGATTTGGATAGGATATATCATGCATTATTTCCAGATTTTTCCCTTTCCTGTGACCTACTCCAGCCTTACATGGCTCCAACTTTGCAGGTAGGGCAAATAAATCCTGCCACGAGCATCAACGTGTTTTCCCACAGAAATCCCCATGTTCGCAGTTGGCTTCAGGAAGCAAATGGGGGGAGCAAAGGGATGTGAATCCATAATCCACAGACAAACAGGTATGTTATATGAGTTACCTGTTCAACACAAACCAAAAGACATTAGACACCTCCACATTACAAAAGGTCTCTGTAAAACAGGTACATGTGTAGACATGCAGTTCATCTTCCATAGTAACAAAGAAAATATGTCAGACAAATCACCTTCCAAATTCACACTGAACAGTGGGATATTAGTCCTGTTAATACAAACAGACAGGGCCGGCTCAAAGCTAAGTGCTAATGATTAATTCTGCTTAAGCACAGGGTTCCTGCATCCTCCCTTAAAAGCAAAGGGTTTGCATACRCATCATCCCAAACTAAGTGGTTTTTAATAGGTGACTGAGTTACCTAATAATAGCTTACTTTAGTGCTAATATGTGCATGAAGAGACTTGCTTAYGGAGTAGAAGTGGCTTCTATTAGTCCATGTCAAACCCTTAAAGGACACCTCTGAGGAAGCCCCAGCTCAGGGACAAGTACAGGGAATACCCCAAAAGCCCCAGAGGAACCACACACAGACTCAAATTCACTCATATGCTTCAGTATTTGGCAAAAACTGGGCAGATTTGCCCTGAGCATCCTTCTTCAGCTGAAAAAAAGATGCCTCATTCATACACACATACTATTACCATGCCATTTAAAGGCATCATTTTCGTGTGTTGGAACTTGCCATTCTACTTCCTTTATGTCTAGGTGCAAGCTCACTCCCTTGGGTTGCTGGAAGCGAGAAGCAGCTCCCACATGTTTTCCCCACCCCACTCTCCCACCTGGCTATGACAGCAGAGAAGTCGCCTGTCATGCTTCAGCCACATGTTTTTATAAGAGTCTCTGTGAGCAAGCAGGGTAGCATGTTGTTAAGGGGTGGCATCTGAAGCGTTTTGGATGTGTAATTAGTGTGGAAATGGCATTTGATTCATCCCTACCGTACTTCACAGGAATGGTGCCACTAAAATTCAGGAGATCTTTCTGGGATCCATCTTTGAAGGCTGAAAATAAAAATGGGWTATTATAAACATGGTCTTGAATTTTACGCAACAATCCCACCCACATCAAACAATGCACAAAGCACATTTTTCTTTAATTATCAAATACATTGCCGCCTAAACACCCAAATCCAGATTGTTAGTATGTCTTTTTATTATTATTAAAAAGAAAAAAAAAAACCAAAATCTTCTCTCCTTTGAGGAATGGAGAAATTCACCGAAAGTCAAAATTGAGATGGCAACACAACTGAAAGGTAATGACTGTACTTAACCTTTATAATATACAAACTGAATTTATGTCAAATAAAAGTCTCAAGTAGTAGTTTAAAGTAACCAAATCACTTCTTACTGTACGTGTTCACGGAGAATTCAAAGTTCGGGTAAGTCTTGTTAACATTTTTTATTTCTTCTATGGTCAGGTCTCTGAATTTATACTGGGAAGGGAAGGAAGAATTAGAAATATGTTCTAGTTAAGAAAAGCATTTTCTTTCATTATAGGATATAGGGAGAGGGAATCAAAAAGTAGAAACACAAGAAAGGCAACTAGTAATTATCTGTGGTATCATAAACGGTTTGGGCATGAAATTATTTCTCAGAAATCTTTGTACACTACGTGTTTTCTTCATTAAATGCAATCTAACGTATAACTTGCCTTAGCAAAATAGCTCTGTAAGATCACAGGGGTGCTCTTGTTACAGGAGAACCTGAACTCTAACATCATTCCTTAAACTCCACCTTCAGTCACTGTGAGCAGTCTTAAGGAAATTAAACTTAACTGTGCGCAATACTTACAAACAATATTTGAATATAAACCCTCTGGAAAAACACACGTTTACGAGACCTTTGTAAGAGGTCCGTATTTGCAAGCTTATTAGATGTGTCAGAAATTAACCTCGGGAAAGTTTTCCCATGCTCAAGGTGTCCTTGATAGCTGAGAAATTTCATACAGAAWAACGCAGCCCCTTCCACCCCCCAAAGAACTGCACATAGCTTTAAAAATAACTAAATAAAAATATGTGATCTGAACGTTACTGTCATCAGGAACAAGTTGCTTCATCTAGGTCACCTTCAGCCATCTGGGCCTGAGCACTAGCACAGCAGTCACCCAGACCAGGCAGTCGTGAAAAATAGCTTCCATTTCCCAGATTAAGGAAATCCTTCACATTTTAGGAAGCTGCTCCAAAGCCCCAGCCAGGGCAAGCACAGCTGCAGCCCCCCACTGGCTTAGGGCACAGCTGCTCCTTAAGAAATGCTTCATATTTAAAGAATACTGGTCCTGAAGTTGCAGTCTGGGACCCAGCCTCTATAGTAGGGCCATCAACCATAAACAGCAGCAAACCCACAGCCGCGTTGTGAAATCTAAACCCTTGTTCTCCCCAGCCTACTCCTTTCACRCTCCGGAAGGGAACTGCATGAGGCATTCTCGGCAGCCTGGCAAGCTTGATGGGGAGAGTGGAGCAGAACCCTTCCCTATTCCCACGTGCCATCAGCTGGCATGCCCCACATCTAATCACACACCTCTACTCCACCTGTGGAAACAACTTTTTTTTTTTTTTTTAAACCTTTTAGGAATGCTATAAAAATGCATCCCTCTCTGCAAAGCAGGGGTTACTAACTCAGTGATTAATCCCCCACTTCAGAAAGGCAGTAACTCCGCGCTCAGAGGAGCAGTTTAACATCACGCGGCACACCAGACATGCTCCCCCGTCCCTAACCAGGGCATTRAACGCGGTGCGCTTCTAAAATCAGTTTATACACAGCGCTTACACCAACTTTCTCCCCGCTCTCCCTCAGAGAGCACCCCTTCCCTCACGGCGGCGCCTCTCGCGCGCGCAGGGCGGGGGGGAGAGGAGCGCGCGCAGGCGCGCGGCGGCGACCGTTCAACCGCCCCCCGGCGACCGTTGGAGCCCCCGCCCGCGCGCGCGCGCACCTTGCCCAGCTGCTTCCTCAGCGCCTCCTCGCTCAGCGCCATTTTGGCGGCGTCGGAGACGCCTCCGCCTCCCAGGCGCCCCTGCGCGGGACAGTAATAATAATAAAAGTAATAAAAATAATCAGTAGTAATAATAATAACAACAATGTGGAGCCATACARATGCTTGCTGTTCCCAGTGCAGGAGCAAAAGCTTCGTTAAATCTCAGTTCAATGACAGTAAATCCGATCAGGGCGAGCTGGCGGACAYAAAACATCACCGAGTTAGCACAGACTTGCAGCAAAATCTGCATGTGTGGGTCGTAGATGGTATACAGATGCTAAAAGGGTTTTGGACATGTCTTTTCTCCGTGCCCACAGCAATCCCAACTGATGTGCGGTTTTACCTGGAGTTACAAACATGCCCAATGAAAATCCAGAATAAACTACTTTTATTACTCTTGGTTTATCTTTGCTCATGCTATCATGCAGGACAGAYGTGAATCCCCTTCAGAAAGCAAAATCCCCTTCAGAAGCACACCGAGCTTGGCTGACGCATGCCCAGTTCGGAGCTGCAGGAGATACCGTGTGTCCAGATAGAGCAAGGGAGACAAGTGCCATTCGGATCCCTCAATCCATGAGGAAACGGCGGGATCGGGGAAGAGCAAAGTCCACAGCAGGTGCAGGATCTCCTCAAGGAAACCTCATCCTGCTTCTTCCCCTCCCTGGCTGAGCCAACAGCTGAGGCAGGAACCAGGAACAGAACTGCTTGGTAGAACAAGTGAAGACTCAAACAGATTTTGTTGACTTTCTTTCCATTTTCGACCGTTGGCTGACGTCATTCCGCCCTGGGCTGCCCTCCTGTGACGTCAGGCGTGACGTCACAGCCCGGGCGCGGAGCCACGCGGCACGGCCGGGTCCTCGGGGAGCAGCGCCAGCCCCGGCGGCGCCCGCGGGGCGCGGGTCCGACCATGGTCGTCGTCCTCTGGATGATCTTCATCCTGGGCATGATGCTGAAGGAGAAGTACCTGGACGTGAGTCCTCCAGGCACAGCACAATGCCAAGAGACAAACGAGCCTAAAGGCTTGTGTCTAAACACTTTTAAAAGGCAATTTGAAAATCATTTTGCTTTGCAAAGGCCCTAGCACTGACTAACRTTTGAGAATAATTTATTCTTTTTAAATTTTTCATCTCAGACATATTAATTTTTAATCTCTCCTTACTGCACAGAAAAAGAAATGCTAGGAAATTCTGATGGATATGAACAATTACTAGTAGCCTTGCCAGGCTGGATACACTTTTTAAAACCTATGTGTGTATTCTTAGCCAAAATAATCACAGAAATCAAAATAATAACCATATACTATTGGTGCTTATATATGCTCTGGAATAAAAAGACACATTTCTATGTAAGGGTTTTAGGAAATCTTTGATTTAGCCTATACCAAAACTATAGATCCTTTAGATAGATGCCTGAGCATTGTGACTCAAAATCAAGTAGTTATCTCTGCCATATATTGCAGAATTTCCATTCAGCATTTCAACTTCTTCAGCTTGAAATAACCCCAACTTCCCTAGCCCAGCTAGCTGTGTGATGGCTGTTTTCAAGGCAGTCACTGCAGATTATTCACTCTGTACRTGTGTGTGTTCACAGACTCACCCCGAGGAGCCGAAGAAACCGGACACAAGCAGGAAGCACTCGGTGTAACGTGGCAGCCGAACGCGGCCAGATGCAGAGCTGCTGACTGCGCCGCCGGCGAGAAAGGTGCTCTGGCAAATGCAGCTCTGGAGTGAAACACGCTTTGCTGGACACGGTGTGTGCGTGGTTTCAGGGTGGAAAAGAGCGTCTTTCTGGCTTGTAGCACACGCGAGTCCCCAGCGCTTCCACACACTGCTCCCGTGTTCGGCTTCCCGCATTCACATGGCACCATTTCAGTTTAGGGGGGGTCAAGCAATTTAAAACTAAATGAGCAACCCAGAGAGCTTGGAGACTCCTGGGTTCTATCCTCACTGGTGACATTCAATTTTTATCTGCTACAGAAATGCTAACGTTTTTCCACTGAATTTGAGCGACTAGTAGTCATAGTTCTGATCAACATCTCACTGATTCGGTATCAAGGGTTTATATATGGTAAAAAAGAAGAAATATTTTTCCAAACATCTTGCATTAAGCACTGTCTTTGCAGCTTCAGGAGCAGTTCTGAAGTGAGGTTAAATGCAAACAACCCAGGAAAGCCAGTGGAACTGGAAATACTGTGTTTTTCCAAGTGCACCTACAGCACCTATGGCATTTTGCATAGCACCCTCCCAAGCTGGCTCTAGGAAACTCCAAGCTGCTATTTGTTGAGCAGATGCCCTATACTTCCAACTCCTCATTTATTTACTAGAACTCCTTTCTTCCTCAGAGTTGGCCACATCTATTAAAAGTAAGCAAGCAAGCAAACACAAACAGTATTTTGCTAGCATTATCTTGTTGGGGTATTTACTTTGAGAAGTGGTAGAAAAGCTGAGACACCTCATTGCACAGAAAACGAGCTACAACTACTCAGATGTAGAACAAGAGGGCAAAATAAACAATTTCCTAGAACCCGTGGCTAGTGCTAGAGCACAACACGGGTTGTGGATTTCATTCAGCTCCACACATGAGGAAAGGAGAAAATGGCAGCATCGTTACTGTAGCTTGAACTTGCCTGGTGTGAGCGTTAGTCTTATTCTTCTCATTAACTTGGGGCATCCTGTCTCTCTAGCTACACTAGTTTAGACCAAAGCCAAGGGAAAAGGTTCTCTCAGCAAAGCAAAGCCAGCAATTCCAAAGACATTTCAAAGCATTTTCCCCCATYGAGAAAATCAATTATATAACTTCCTTCCCCTTGCTATTAATTTGGACAGATCACAAGTTGAACTGAGAAATATTAAAGGGTACAGTCAAAAGTTGCACCTCTTAAGTATGCTTGATYGATCCTCCCCAATTCCGAGGCTTTGGGAATAAATGAAGAGCAAGTACAAGACAAATGGCAAGAGCAACACTTTCCTTACTAGACCCTTGGGCTCTGGAAGTGCCATGAGGAAGAGCCCAAATTATCTCACTATTACCTTTGCTACAGCCATCTAGGAACTCACCTGTGCATGAAGGACACTAAAACCAGCTAGTGTCACAGGCAATGCACAATACACTGCTTGATTACTTCAGGAACCTCTTCCATCTTTAATTGCACTCACCCAGCATGCTAAATTGCTGTTTTTAAGACTCCTAGGGCTCATGAAAGTTTCATATTTTTAAATGCTTTTAGATTGTTGAGAAAAGGCACATTCATCTAAATAGATTCATGTCACGGGTCTAAGTTGCCAGATGCTCTACTGATTTTCAGATCTTTTCTGAATGTTTAAGTGACTCTTACATTTTTGTAAACCTTTGTGACTGCATGAGGAAGTGCTGACAGTTCTTCCCAAAGATAAATCGAGCTTACATCTTTCATGACAGAGCTCAGAGCAAAGGCCAGAAGAGAACTCCAAAAACCCCTGCAGAAAGTAAACCAATGCAAAAAAGCAGCAAAGTGTTTAATGCCTGTAATTTATTGTATACATACTCTGCAAAACTTTCATATGCATTTGGTGTTTGCGCAAGAGTGTACACTTCCTTGACAACACCAGAAAACAGTTAAGCTAAGTAAGAGTTTTTAACCTGATTTGTCACATTGTGTAAAAAGACATTGTGCACAACTGATATCCCCCCCCCCAAAAAAAAAAATCATTGGCTAAACTAGAAGCACCCTTATTTACACACTAACATTTCAATATTGCATCACACCCACTCACCAAAATAAATAGAAGTACATTCATCACAATTTAAACACCAGTCTCTCTCCATATATTTATTTTCTGACATGTTTTGGTCTCCAGAAATATGCTATATCTAGAAATATGCATCAGCTACTAGATTAAGTTACAAAATGCAAAAAAAATAGAAAATTAGTTTGCCTGGACAATATTTTGGGCTTTACACAAAAATAAATCCAGATTTCCATAGAGATCTCATATACTTCTTGAAAGATTTTTATTTTAAAGCACAGCACAGAGTTGCACACTAAGGCTTCCTGTGATATGCAAAACCCTGGCCTCCAAAAGACGTTGCTGTAAAGTCTAAGTACAGCTCAAGTGTAAATACAAGACATTTTCAAAAAAGTAGTCATTAATAGAAAGTGCCCTTCATTTGATTTAGCGTTCTCATCGGTTAAGAAGAAGCTCCTGTACTTGTGCAAAGCCAGACCTGGGAAAGGTTCAGGAAAACTAGGTCGTCAATTCACGCTATCGAGTTTAAAGACACAGAATCTGAGATAGCAGGAACTGACCAAGCTCTTCATGCTCCTACATTCAGCAATTATTTTTTGACACRATTTAGTTAAAGGCACATTGTCAGTGAGTTAAAAGTCTAAAAACCAAACCACAAGTTCATTAAATACAATTAAATCACTAGCTTAACATCAGATCCTCATAAACCAATATAACCATTCTTCCAATTTTAGTTAACTTCAAATTCAGATGCACTTTGGAAGAGTACTTCCATACTCCTTAGATTAATAGGGTTACCTGGTAAACAGTAAATGTTTTTCAATACAAGGTCAGGWGTAGAGGAAACACAAAAACTCAAAACAGATTCTTCATAACTTCCTAGTCCATTTGCAGAAATAAATGTGGCAAATGCAGGCATTAGAACCCAGTCATTTGTATAAGTTTCACAACATTTGAGAACAATTATCATTCCATGCCAATTATGAGGGAGTAGTTGATTGTAAAGTTACAAATGCATTTGAAGAATTTCTCATGTAAAAAATATCAGACAATGATTATTGTGTGAAGAAAACCACAGGTACAGAGTGTTTGAGGAAGGCTGGCGGAGCAGAGTGCATTCCAGTCACCATCTACAAGACAAATGACAAAGTGCTTTACAGATTAAGAAATTTAACTGATCTTGTATCACGTGGTCAATTAAAATATATCACTACTGTGTGGGTAAATAAAAATCAGGGTTTTATTTAGCTTGCATTCATCTGAAACGCAGACTTGATTCCAGACTGAACCAATTTTGAGTCGATACAGTTCTTGCATTTCAGAAGAGCCTGTATTTTCAACCATGAAGGAAATTGCTTGCAACCAATAGAAGAATCTGGGTCAACAGAGGCCTAGAGCCTTCCTCCAGCTGTGATAAAACAAAAAACCCCAGCAACCTGATCATGGTCCCAGCAGTCCTTGTCTTGAATGGATAATTCTAGCAACTACAACAGAAAACAATTTTAAATGGTCCCATTCAGCAGAACAAGTATGACATTTATAGACAAGCAGTGAGATTACACTATTTCGCATGGTTTTCAACATACACTGAGAAATGTTGTTTTATTAGTAAATAAAGTTGAAAGTTCCTAGGAGCTATGAAGTCGCTACCTTCCTCTAGTAACCTAGGCTCGCCTGCCACCTAATACTGAGTTAGTTCATAGTGCCCCTCCAAGAGCTCGTGTCAGGGCTATGCTGCAGCAGGGCAAGGCTGCACCGTGGACAGAAAGTGGCTCAAAACAGCAAATGTGCTTTTTCCTCACATTAAGAGTTGGTCATTTAAACTTCAGCAGCTTCCAGAGCTGCCCCTTACAGCTTGGTGCTATTTCTGAAGGCAGCGTTGTTGAGTTGCCTCCTGACAGGAAAAGTTCTTCCCCTGGTTTTCCAGGCATGAAGTAATTTCTCCTTCTTGCTCATTACCTTCCCCGCAACAATCACCCAAAACGTTGTAGCACTTAGTCAAATACTTGTAGTATTAAAGCACCGTGGCCACTCGAGCAGCTCATGTCCTGTCAGGTGAGGCTTGGCGCCTGAGGCAGAGGCGACCCTGGGGAGCTCYGAGAGGAAACCTTGGGAAACTGGAGCAAATCCAACACCAAATTTGCAATTTGGACTCTGTGCAGTCCTTGCAGACTCACATGTACCCCTATGCCAGCTGTAAACAAACTCAGTTAGTGAAGCAAACAGTCTCTAAATGCATAGATGAAAATAATGTGCAAATAAGGGCATTAAAATAGGTAACAGAACTCCCCTGCTGTAACGTTTTACCTTGTTKGATGAAATTATTCAGAATCATTTGCTACATATTACAAGTTTGAAGTCATATCAATGAGTTGCCAATCTGGTAACACAATTTCATTCTGATATTTTTTCCAAACAGTGAACCTAATTCAGTGACTGCTTCACATTGTAAATAATTAAAATAAACACCTGATTTTTAATGCAAGAGAAAATGTTCACTGTATGCCTAATTGTAAAAGCAGCAGAAACTGTGGGACAAACGTGAGGATTTACAGGGCAGGAAAAGAACTGCTAGGCATATGCTTGAGCCCACAAGCACAAGCTACACACAAACACTGGAAATTCCTATCTTTCAGGATGTGCATTTATCATACTGAAGTGGATTGGCATTGAAATTCCAGGCACAGCAAAAGCCAACATCGTTTTTTGGTCATTTCTGTAACTGCACGATTTGTGAGTGACATGCACTGTTAGAAATAAGATGCTCTGGGGTTTTTGTTAATAGGTTAGGTCACACGGCCCTCAAACGAGAAAATGTCAGCGCGTTATTGCTTAGAACATCTGTGGCAATAGCTGAAATTTACACCCTACCCAAGCCACTTCTGCACAGAAGTCATTATTTCAATACTTTGAGGGATCTCCACGCAGGAGATTGAGAGCAGGGTATAAAGCAATTTCCTTACACCTCAAAAGTGAGGGAACCAGGTTGTTCCTCTTTTTGAGGCGAGCACAAAACTGGTTTACTGGTCTATGGGCCCACACAGTTGCAAGTCAGTGCATAGCTAGTCAGTATTTCTGCTGGCATCTTGAACAAGCAATTTCATCAGTGGAAGTCTTGACTGATTTTTCTTCCCCTTAATATGCATTAGTGCACTAATTTCTTTATAAAAAATTCAACCTTGGCAAGTATTAAAAATAAATATCTTTAGGTTACACTAAAGCCTTGCTTTTCAGTATTTTCATCCCTTTACACTTTTCTTTTGCCCTCTAACAAGCAAATGGAAACTGAAATAGAGTAAGAGATGTATGGAGGCAGAGGGTGGCAGAAAAATGAACAAAATCAAAACCATTTTAAGTCAGTTAACGTGTCCTCAACTTCTTCGACTGTCTCTTGCGTTTCAATTCCTCTTCTTCCCGTTTCAATTCTTCTAAGTCCTCCTGAACACCAAGCCTCAAGCTGCCAAATAAAGGGAGATCCTTCACAAAGTGTTATACGGGAAACCTAGGGTTTTACCTCTACATTTTCCTTTAGAAAAACAATCCTATAATTATCATGGTTGATTTAAGGAAAAAACAGATCTGTTCAATAATCATCATACGTATTCTTTAAGAATACCTATGTGTACACTTTTTTTTTTTTACAACACATTGCAGAAGACAGCACCTTCTAGCTCTTTCCCTGCCTAGTTTCTGTGGCTTCCTAGACGGGGAATAAGGACATTGACTCGGCTTGAAGATCAAGCTTCCGATATTCCACTACTCTGAGACTTGGCTGAATGGAAAAAAAAATTAAAGAACGCTTCACTAAAACAACAACAGCAAGAAGGTAACTCAGTGCCTAACCAATTTTTCCCACTACGTTAAAAAAAGTGTAACTTTGCAAAGCTGTGACAACTGTATTGTACACATAAACCTATTGATGGTTAAGACTAGGTTTCTGAAAGAGTCAGTAAAAAGTTACAGTCTAGAGCTAAAACCATGATGCAATCCAATATGAAAATCCAGTCTTCTTGAAATCACTATTTATAAAATAATTGTACAGTCATTTAATAAATGATTTTAAGAAATCTTCCAGTCCTTGAGAGCACAATATTCCAAGTAGTGGAATATTGCAGTTTTTGGAATAAATTCAAGGGTTTGGCATTTTCACCATTTTTTAAAAATACTTTTTACAGAAATATTTTGGAGTTTACATTGGTATAATTTGGCAAGCAGGATGTATACAATTAATACAAATATATTTGTTTACTAATACCCATTCACTGTCAGACTGACCGTAATCTTTCCATCTAACTTTAACTTTTTCTGTCCAAAATGGCAAGACCTCTGCTATAAGCAGCTACAGTAGTAACAGTTACAGTAGTAATTGCATCCCAGGATATATTTAATCAGCCAGCATCCACTCCAAAATGCTCCCCGACTTCAAGCAGCCTCCTTACTCTCCCCCACCTCGTTTCTACTTGAATTTATATCTGTTCATACCTCCTAGCTTCTTCTTTCTGTTGCTCTCTCCAGCTGCTCTCCATGTAACGTAAGGCATAATCACTTTCATCTTTGTATCTGGAGATTAAATATTCATGTTTAGCACACTATAAAAGACAACATGATCATGGACGGCTGTTATGTATTAACATTCTCCCCTCTTTTTTTAAAAAAGAAAATTATTTTGCCATTTACTGTTACATTTTAACGCTTTGAAAGAATATAAGCTCCTAGCCATTAAAATGGCTATTGTCAGGTAAAAGGAAAGTATTTGATCAGGTCAAATAATGGATTTCATTTTAAAACAGTTCCCATCCAAATAGATAGGGAGGATCCAAGTCAGATCCTCCTTTGAAATAGTTAACACCACTGCATTCAACAGTTTGCGTGAAGGCAACTGCATTTAATATAGTCTGAAAAATTCAGTGGCTCTAACGTTAAATTTTTGCACTGCAAGAACATTTATGGATGCCMACACTTTACTCATTCATCTCAAATATTTAATTTTATCTTTGGACTGTAACTTCTGTAAGAGTTTTGTGACATCTTAACATGAGTTGGAGATCCCTTACCTTTTCCGGTCATATCCAAATATCTCCCGAATATGCTTTGATATTTCTTCTTGGGGTTCTCCTTCATCTTCAATGAAATCATCCATTTCAGAGTCATATTCATCATCATCATCATCATCATCATCTTCTATCTGCCTTTTGTAACTAACTGGGGGGAGAGAAGGTCTTCCAAGACCTAAATGAGGAGTAAAGAACATTAATTTGTCTAACAGTCATTTTCTACATTAGTTTCTTCATAATCAAGAATTTTTACAGTACTTCTGCCAGTGACCTAAACTCAAATGTTTTATATCTCCAGGCTTCAAGATGGAAAATTTCKGCCTTAATTTAATTAACAGTTCTGAGACACACAAAGAAAATATTTCCTCTAAGCTTGGTTATGGAAGATTACATATCAGTATGATGGACAGACACCTACAATATGTTTCACTCTTGTTTTTTCCAGATATTGATTTACAGTAGTCAAAATGGTGCTTTTTATTTCCATTCAAAACCCTTTAAAATGCAAATATGGCATTTTATCCACATCTAACTGCATCCACAATTGTTAGAGGGCCTCAGAGGCCTCAACCCACACATATCAAAAACAAGTAAGAAGTAGCAGGGCAGTTGCAAGACTCGCCTTGCTGTAAAACTCCGTACCTTGTGGATGAAGGCCTGGTCTGTGCCCTTGAAAAGGTCGTGCTCCATTCATGTGCCCGTTGCTAGGCCTTGGGACGAGATTTTTAGAAGAAATGGTCTCCGACACCACAGTACACTTGGGTTTCAGAGCTGGGCCCAAGGCGCCRCTGGGTCGCCCGGGCCCCGCACCGGGGCTGACGCCCGGCCTGCCCGGCCCCGCAGCCAGGCCGCTGCCGGGTCGCCCGGGCCCTGCGTTGGTGCCAACACCAGCTCCGGGCCTTCCCGGGCCGCTACCGGCCCTGCCGAGTCCCGCGGCCGTGCCCACGCCGGGCCTGCCGGGGCCGCTGCCCAGGCTGCCGCCCGCTCGCCCCAGTCCCGCGCTGGAGCTGCCGCCGGGGCGC